GGGCGGCCCGTGCGTGGTAGCAGACATGCAGGTGCCTGCCAGGATCATCTGGGTCATTGGCGACAAGGCTGGGAGTGGTTGCTGCGAGAAGATGAAGCAGCGGCAACAGGGACTGTCAACGCGTGAATGCGAGGCGGCAGAAAATGGCAGCAGCGGGCGCCAGTGCCGAAAGACCAGGCAGGAGCAACACCTCCACCCACATTGCTGCGGGGGGGGAGCTCGTAGGAAAAGAAAGGCAGCGGCAGCATAGCCTCGCGGCGCGAGAGGGCAGGAAGTGGCAGCAGCCGCTGTCGGCGGCAAGTGGTCGCGCAGGAGCAACATCATCAGCTACATTACGGCGGGAGGTTAGCTCGTGCGAGAAAGCAGCTGTTGGCAATATGGTCTGCCGGTGCGAGAGGGTCAGCGGTGGCAGCGACGGTCGTCGGTGACAAAAAGCCACGCAAGAGCAACATCTTCAACGACACTTCAGCGAGGGCCAGCCCGTACGAGAAGGTGCAGTGGCAACATGGTCTGCCGGTGCGAGAAGGTCAGCGGTGTCAGCAACGGTCGCCGGTGGCAAAAAGCCACGCAAGAGCAACATCTTCAACGACACTTCAGCAAGGGCCAGCCCGCACGAGAAGGCGCAGTGGCACCAGGGTCTGCCGGTGCGAGAAAGCAGGCAGCGGCAGCAACGGGATGCAACGGGCGTCGGTGTCAAATGGCGAGGCAAAGACGCTTCAGCAGCAACAGGGTGACTAGGGTCAGCTCGTGCGAGATGGCAGTGGCAGCAGGAACTGGCGGTGCGAGAAGGCAGGCACTGGCAGTAGCGTCTGTCGGTGCGAGAAGGCAGGCAGTGGCAACAGCGGCTGTCGGGGCCCATCGGCGCAGCGAGAGCACCTCATCAGCCACGTTGCTGCTCGGGTCAGCTTGTGCGCAAAAAAGGGGGCCTGTCATCAGCTACACCGCTCGGGTCCGCTCGCGCGAGCAATGGCAGTGAGCACAAGGCTTGCATGGCAGACCCTGGAAATGCGAAGTGGCGAGTGCAGGAGCGAGGGCCGTCAGCTACAATGCTGGGAACAGCTGTTGCGCGCAGACAGGCAGTGGCAGCCGGAACTGGTAAAGCGAGGAGAGCAAGCAGTGGCAGACGGGTTAGCATTGCGTGCAAAAGGAGGCGCGCGTGCAAGCGCCATCTGCTACAACGCAGAGATCAGCTCGTGCGCAATGGCAGATTTTCCCACGGACGGCAGCAGACGGCGGCGTGCGCACGTGTGCTCAGAAGGCCGCCGCGGAGGGCTACGCTGCCGAAGGACGTGGCTCAACAGATGGGACAACCACCTGGGGGTGCCCATCGAGCCCCTCGTCGCTCCTCGTCACCACGGCTGGGCCCTCGTCGCCACGAGAAGGAAACGGCATGGGGAAGAGAGAGCTGGACCGCGCGTCGTTAGCTGCAACTCTTGAGATCCAACCAGTTCGCCAAGGACAGGCGCAGGGATAGGGGTGGTCTTGTTAGCCGCCGTTTCGTTCTTCGAATATCTGGAGGTTTGGCCAGTTGCATTGTGTTGAATACTCCTCCTCGTCATCATTGTCATCACCGTCATCATCATCCTACCCCTCCTGACCATCATCATCATCATCATCATCCTCATCATCATCATGTCAAGCATCGCCATAAACATCATAATCATCCTCATCAGCATTACAAGCATGCCCGTCATCGTCATCATCATCAGAGTCATTCGCATCTTCATCAGCATCACCATCATCATCATCGAGATCATGGTTAGCAGCATCAGCGTCATGATCATCGCCACCATCATCACCACCAGCATCATCATTGACAGCATCACCACCCTCCTCATCGTCGTCATCGTTGTGTTTAGAATAAATGTCATCGTCATCCTCATCCTCATCCTCATCATCATCATCAACATCGTCATCGTCATCATCAGCACCATCATCATCATCAGTAGCATCATATTCATCGGCAACAACATCAACATGATCATCATCACCACCATCAGCATCATTACCATCCAACTCCTCTGCGTCAACGCATCTTCTCCCCCCTTTTACTACTACTCCCCCTCCCCCCCATCGTCCGTCCCCGTGCCTCATCGCCCTCTCCTCTAAAAACAAATTCTTTCTCGTCCTTCCTCTCTTCCTCATCCTCCTCCTGCGTCTGACCATGCGACGTGTCGGTAGGGCGGGCCTGGCGTTTCCAATGAGATTCCTCCACACGTATCCCCGAAGCTTGACATCCACCGCAGGTGCACGATGGAGGGGGGAGGGGGCGTGTTCAAAATGTAGCGCTCACTGTAATCGAGTGCCCTGTACGCTTGCCATAACAGCTTCCAACAGCTACGCCGATAGACGGTGGGGGAGGTCGTGCTCAAACTGCGGCTCTCGCCTCAGCACGGCCGTCGTGGAATGCTCCGCCAGCTATTCGGATCGAGGGGGGTAATCTCCAAAGTGCGGTTCTCGCCTAAGTGCCGCGACCATTCTTCGTAAACGCATCCAACACTTGCACGGACGGAGGAGGGGGGTCGTTTTCAACACGTGGCTCTCAGTTCAGCGCCGCGCAGCGCAGATGGAGGGGGGGGGTTAAGATGTGGGCGTCGCCGTCGCGCCGCGCAGATTCTGTTTGCCAATTTCCGGCAATTACACGGTTCGAGCGGGATGCCTTTCAAATGCGGATCCCGTCCCCTCAACGGGCACATTCGTTGTAGCCAAACACCTACACGGATAGAGGGGAGTCGGTTTCAACATGGGGAACTCGCCTTAGCGCCGCGCGCATTCGTGTTCAAGGCGTCCAATAGTTACACGGGTGGAAGGGGTCGTTTTCAAAACGCGGCCCTCCCCTCCCGCCTTAGCGCCGCGCACCTTCGTCTAACAAGCTTCCAACAGCTACACGGATGAAGAGTGGCGCCTTCTTCGACATGTGGTTGTTCGCCTTCGCGGCACGCGCATTCGCTTTAGACTTGCCCACCACAGCCTCGGAATGAGAACGATCGATATAAACATGGGTCTATCGCTGTGGCGCGGCGCACATTCGCCTGACAAGCGCACAACAACCACACGGATTGAGCGCGGCCCCTCGTCAACCGTTCAGTGTCTTTCAGATCTCCTTCGTCAGACAGCAGCTGTGCGGATGGAGATCGGCTCACTCTTAAGTCGGGGCCTTCGCTTGGGACCTGCACTGGTTTTAGCTCGGGCGTGTCCCCCTACAGCGGGAACTTGGGGGAAAAACTTACAATGACAAAAAAATAGTCCAACATGCTCAAACATTGGCAAACGTCGTCGTACCTCGACTATTCTTATAGTATCGTTGGATATTCCCACAGTGGCGGGACAGGCCAGACTTCACACCAGCTTTATGGCCAGACCCCTTCGAAGAGCACTTGCACGGATCGAAGGCGGCTCTTCCTCCAAGGCGAGGCTCTCGCGGGACACCCCCATTGGACTTTCCACGGCCCTGCCTCGTCGCCGTCCCTCGAGCCAGAAGCACGGGCGGCAGCCCCTGTTTGCACATTTCGGCGCTCGACGAAAGCTGCGGGACCCTGAGGCGCGCGTCTTTCTTGAGGGGGGCGCCTCCCACTGTGAGAAGGAGTCCTCGTAGAGGGTCCTGATGAGGGAACTTGGGATGGGCGGGCGTGTTGCCAGACCACTCCCTCGCCCTAACCGCGTAAACTGCCTGGGCCACCCGGACGTCTCAAATTCCCCCCAGCCAAACAAAGTTGTCATCGTTCCTCCCCTTCTGCCCGAAGACGCTCCATGAGGAGGAGGAGGAGGAGGAGGAGGAGGAGGAAGAGAAGACGCTCCTCAAACTCCTCCTCCTCCTCCTTCTGTTTCCTCCGCTCTCTGGACGCGTCACCCTCCTCCTCCTCCTTCCCGAACACGCTCCAAGAGGCCTCAACAAAGACAAGCAGCATGCAATACCTTCGACCCTCGACCATCGAAGCCCCCACCCTCTCTCATCGTCCGCGTCATCCTCCTCCCCTTCTCCTCCTCCTCCTCCTCCTCCTCCTCCTTCTCGTCCTCCTCTATCCACCATCCTCCGTTTCCTGCTCCTCCTTCTCCTCCTTCCCCTCCTCCTCCTCCTCCTCGACCTGCTCCTCCTCCACCTTCTTCTCCTTCTCCTCCTCCTCCTCCTCCTCCTCCTCCTCATGCTGCTGCTTTCTTCTTCGAGCGCTGCCGCGGCCTCTCCCCCGCGGGCGCCGGCCGGCAGGCCGGCTCAGCGACTCGCCCAACAGATTTCCTATGCCACCATCCCGCCACTCTGCCGGCTGACGCAGCAGCGCCCGGCCGTCCGCCGCAGGCGGGGGCGGCTCCCGCTCCTCCTCCTCCTCCTCCTCCTCCTCCTCCTCCTCCTCGTCCTCCTCGTCCTCCTCCTCCTGCTCCTCCTCCTCCTACTCCTCCTCCTTCTGCTCCTGCTCCCTCTCTGCATCCTCATCCTCGCTTCCGCTTCCCCCAGGCGCGTGTGCGGCCCCACAGCGAGGAGGAGTGCGGAGGAGGAGGAGGAGGAGGAGGAGGAGGGGGAGTGGGTGGGGTGAAGGAGGATGGAGGAGTGGAATGTTCCTCGTCCTGCGACTCCTCCTGCTACTCCTCTTCCATTCCTAGCTCTTTCCTTTGCGTTCCTCCGTCTGCTTCCTCTCGACAGGTGACGAAGTCGACGTCGCGTCCAAAATTCTCTCGAAACATGTCCCTTGACCCATCCCCGGCTCCATCCTGTGTCAGTCCCCATGTTCCAAGCCGCGCCAAGCCGTGACGACGAGAACCTCCAGAAATGTCCCCGAACCTCCGAAACAGAAACATCAAGGAAGACGAGGACGTTGACGGCGAGGAATACAGCGAGGAAGCAGTTGACGAATTCAACGACAGCAGCGACGAAAACAACGACGACGACGAACGACGACGACGGCGAACGGCGACGACGACGACGGCGAACGGCGACGACGACGACGACGACGGCGACGGCGAACGACGACGGCGACGGCGACGACGGCGGCTGCGGCAGCGGCGGC